TCTTCGCCTCTGTAAGTTGCCATTAGCACTCAAATTCACATGCAGTGTGTCCCGTTTTTCCTTGGGACAGGGTTTAATGTAGGCTTACCTCTCGGTATCGCCGAACAATAACAACAGTGGTAAAAGTAGCCAGAACGGCACCAAATCCCATGGCTATCAGCTCACGCCGTGTCCTTGCTCGGAACCAGTTGCGGACCACTTGAAGGAACGTTTCACTAGAAGCCTTTTTCGGTTCTACCATAATGAAAATGAAACTAACTCTACCGAGTCTAAACCTTTATAAGCATTGCGATCATGCAGTTGATAATGATTCTTCTCAAAAACGGTATCAATTCAATAACACATCATTCGCGGGTGCCCTGCTCTGCTCGAGCTGCCTTCTATCGCCTGGACCTGATGCGATTGATGGTAGAGTCAACGTGAAATGATGAATTAAGGGACACACATCTCTTGCTTCTCAGTACTACGCAGCTCTCCTGAATCTAAACTCATGATACCTGTCCACAACAAATAAATGCTGACGCAATATCTATAAACAAGCTTGTCAGGATCTGACTAAGATTTTAGCGATGGGGGTCGCAGCAGAATGAGAAGAAGGGAAGAAAATGTCGCAAAAGAATTGTAGTCTGAAACTCACAGAGTATTTTTCTTCGGATATTTCTAAAACTTTCAAAGATAATCTTATGTTGAAGATGAGAGCAATGCAGTCCCACATCCCACAGCCACTTTTGGAATTCCAGTACCCAATCTCAGTCAATCAAAACTTATAAAAATGTCTTATTTGCAATTTAAAAAATAGTTGATTCTTCTTTGCGAGCGTAGAGCTCGCTTATCATCAAACTCAAGGGGAATGTTTCTTGTTAAATGGACTGCAATGCATAAGGATAACTGCTGAGTGAATTAGCATCTGAGTGTGATAAACAGAGCCCAACGAACTCCCAATTCAAATTGAAGCTTTACATCAGGTGCCGAAATAAATTAGTGCCAGACAGAGCATCAAAGTCATTAAACCTCTGCAGAAGGTTTTTTTCCCCTTGCACTTCGATAATAACAAATTGCTTTAGAATAGTGATCGAATGACTAAAATTTTCTGGAAATTCCAGCCCATTTAGCCTGGCATTCTTAGACAAGCCACCGAAGTTTCTTTAGCATGTTTTTGTTTAATTTGTAATGTTCGAAACTTAGCACACAGTGAGAGGACTCTAAATTTCGGTAAGTGATGATCAGAAGTAGCGATACATGGGCGATTTTCAGAGCAGCGATCATTCACCTTTCATTTTTGGAATTTTAGGTCTTTTTTCTTATTCTTATTCAAAATCTTATTCCCATGCTAATCCCTGAGCACGCTATGGTATCAAAAACAAAAAACTTTTTGAGTTTCGTGAAGTAGCTTAGTGAAGGCTTAACTCCAACCACATCACCAATACTCGACCTATGTGGTCACTATTGCAAAAAGAACATTGCAAATGGTAATCCGGTCGCAACTGTCAAAAGTGATGAGCCGCTTGCTAGGTTCTTGCTAACCTGTAAAAGCTGCAACTTAAGGTTTATGGATCCTCGATCCTATCCTTATTGGAAGATTTATATGTGACCTTCTCAGCACCCTTTGGTCATTTCATCTTTACAGAATGCAAGGACGAAGTTTAATGAATTTTAATTGCAATCCTAAAAAGCTCGTATTCTCTTCCTTTCCTGTTATCTAAGATATTGTAGGAAAGAAAACAATTCTGCTTCTACTATGTTATGATATATGGTTCCTATCCGATCAAAAGGAGTCATGATGTTAATTTTTCGGAATGACCTAATAGCAAGGACAAGCTCCATAACCAAAATTTTTGCATTACGGCCATTGTAGGGAGAACTTATTAAAATTCTTTTTCCAGTGATAAATGGCCCAATCGCTAGCACGCACATGTTAGGAGATCTCCATTGCTTTTCATAAAAGAAGAAACATTTATTTTCGAACACTACGTCATAAGATTCGTGTTACTGGGAGTCATCAAAGAAGTAATCTGGCCTAGGTTTATACAATTTGTAAGAAGCCTAAATATCCCACTAAGACAAGTTCAAGTAACAATATATAATAGAATAGAAATTTTTTTCATGTACATTTCACAGCACGGATGATTAGCTTGATAGAATATATCATACATGGAATGACTGAATCACGACCAGGTCACAGATAACAGTTTGTGGTACTAGAGATAAGCAG